AACAAGTTTATATATAAAATACAGACAGAAATAAGCTACATATATCTATGTCCAGAAGTGGAGTTGCTAGGTGAAAGTGTATTTGTTCTTCCTCAGTATTTTAAAGTTTTGCCATTCAGATCTATGAAAATGTGTATTCTCTTTTCAAAATTTGCCTCTTCCTATTTCTTCTTGTAGATAATAATTTGTCCCAGGAATCTTTATATCTGATAGAACAAATTCAAAATCTTGTTGTTCGAAATTACCTTAGTTATTCATGGCGTCTTCACACAGTAGTTCCCCTTTATCCATAGTTTTGCTTACCCCAGTTATCAGAGATCTACTGCAAGTCTGAAAACATTAAATGGAAAATTCCAGAAACAATTTGTGAGCAGTTCTGAGTAGCATAATGAAATCTCACACCATTCTGGCTCTACCTGCTGTAGAGGCTACCTGCCCATTACTCCCTTGTAGCTGTCTCAGTTATCAGGTTTAAAAAACATAGTATTATACAGGGGTCAGTGCTATCTGCAGTTGCAGGCACTGAGTGGTGAGTCTTGGATCATATACCCACAGATAAGGCGAGACTACTGTAAATGTTTCTAGCAGTTCACACAAATCTGGCAATGCTAATAGTTTATCTTGTATGCTTTACATAGACAGTCATATAAGTCTGCCATTAATAATTTTTTCTAGCCAGGTACAGCTGCTCACACCTGTAATCCTCACACTTTGGGAGGCCAGAGCAGGAGGATCACTTGAAGCCAGGAGTTTGAGACCAGCCTAGGCAATATAGCAAGACTCTGTCTCTAAAAATAAAAAATTGGCCCGGCGTGGTGGCTTGTGCTTGTAATCCCAGCACTTTGGAAGGCCAAGGCGGGTAGATCACAAGGTCAGGATTTCGAGACCAGCCTGGCCAACACAGTGAAACCCTGTCTCTACTAAAAATACAAATAAATAAATAAATAAATAAATAAATAAATAAATAAATAACCGAGCATAGCGACATGTGCCTGTAAGTCATAAGTCCCAGCTGTTTGGGAGGCTGAGGCCATAGGATGACATGAGCCCAGGATTTCAAGGCTGCAGTGGACAATGATCGCACCACTACTCTCCAGCCTGGGTGACAGAGCAAGACCCTGTCTCAAATAAATAAATAAATAAATAAAATTATTCCTTTTCAAACCCTTCTCTACCTTCCTCCATTCCTCAAAAATGCTGACTAACTGAACAGTAACTAACAATGGATTGAACATCCTTGTCTATTCCTCATCTTAAAATGAATGTGTCAAACATTCTACCCAAAGTATGTTTGCTGGATTATGTTTTTGAAATAATTATAATAGTTAAAGAAGAGAACTAAAATATCGCCTTTTTTTGAGATGAAGTCTCGCTCTGTCACCCGGGCTGGAGTGCAGTAGCGTGATCTCAGCTCACTGCACCTCCGCCTCCCAGGTTCAAGCTATTCTCCTGCCTCAGTCTCCATAGTACCTGTGTAGACTACAGGCACTACCACCATGCCCAGCTAATTTTTTGTACTTTTTATAGAGATGGGGTTTCAACCTGTTGGCCAGGCTGGTCTCGAACTCCTGACCTCAAGTGATCTCCCAGCTTCGGCCTCCCAAGGTGCTAGGATTACAGGGTGAGCCACCATGCCCTGCCTAAAACATCATTTTTAAAATGAGTCTAAAATCAGACTCTTAAAATAAAATCATGACCCTTAAAATAAAAGGGGAGGAAATAGCAGATTAAAGTAAAAATGTGCAAATTTCATTTTATTTAGGAGGCAGTCTCTGGCTACTCTTCTATTCCTGAAGTTACTCAAAATTCTTGGCTGGGTGCGTTGGGAAACGCCTGTAATCCTAACGTTTTTTCGACGCTGAGGTGGGTGAATTGCTTGATCTCAGGAGTTTGAGACTAGCCTGGGAAACATGGTAAAACTCCATCTCGACTAAAAATATGAAAAAAAAATTAGCTGAGCACGGTGGCATGTACCTGTAGTCCCAGCTACTTGGGAGGCTGAGGTGGGAGGATCACCTGAGCCCAGGAAGTCAAGACGTCAGGGAGCCAAGATCACACCACTGCACTCCAGCCCAGGTGATGAGTTAGACCCCGTCTCAAACAAACAAATTCTTTTCAGAAAAGATTAAAAACCATTTTGCTCATAGCAAAAACAAAAAAAAATATTAAAAACCAAACAATTAGCACTAAGAAGAAAAAAACACAGCAGAGAGCATAAAATTAAAAGAAGACCATGTAATTGTGGTAATGCTAAAACTGAATGTAATAGAATTCATAACATTAAAAAATGTAAATAAATGGGACAGAAATTAAGTAGTTGTGAGCCTTTATGTGATGAGTACAGCACTGAATATAAAAAGCAAAAGGGATTCAAATATACAAAGCACTGAAAAGGGAAAAAATACGTAACAGCAGTATAGACTTTATTTTACATTTCTCACTACTTGAGAGATAAATAAGCATAGAGAACCCACCAGTGTTTAATTATTAATATTGATTAAATGGATAGATAACAAAGTGCACTGAAGAACAACCCTTCCTAGAACCTAGGAAATATTTACAAAATGTCTACTTAACAGGCTAAAAAGAAATCCTCAAAAACTTTCCAGAAGCAGACTACATATACTATGTATTAGAACTACGAACTGTTAACAAAAACTGAAAAATAAAATATATCCAACCACATGGAAATAGAAACATACTATCCTCAGCGACTCAGATCAAGCAGTCAGCTTTTAGCCACTAAATATTTAGAAAACAGTAATGAAAACACCCTTTTATTTTGGAAACCGAGCCTCGCTCTGTCACCTAGGCTGGAATGCAGTGGCGTGGTGATCTCAGATCACTGCAGCCTCCACCTCCCAAGTTCAAGTAGCTGGGATTACAGGCTCACACCACCGCACCTTGCTAATTTTATTTTTAGTAGAGACAGTGTTTCCCTGTGTTGGCCAGACTGGTCTCAAACTCCTGGGCTCAAGTGATCCTCATGTTTTGATCTCACAAAGGGCTGGAATTACAGGCATGAACCACCGTGCCTGGATGAAAACATTTTTAACCTATAGGATGGAACCAAATAAATAACCAGAAGAGATTCATAACATTAAAATGGTTCCTTTGAGAATTCAAAGAAAAATAAATGGACCAATTATTTAACTGAAGAAATAGGAATAAGGAAAGTAGAAGGAAGGAATCAAAGCCAAATTACTGAAATAAATTAGAAAATAAATGATAGTTTCTCATTCCTGGGTAGTGAGAGAGAGAATGGAGGTAGCCTGGGCAAACCTTAGCTAGTTTAATCAAGAAAGAGAAAAGACACAAAAAGTATATGTAATTATAAATGTGTATTTAAAATATTTAGATTATTATGTCCAATTATGTGCTTAAAACATTTTAAATAAAAGGTAGAATGATGAATTTCCAGAAAAAGGGAAATTACCAAGATTTCTTGTTGGTCTCAACAGACCAGACATAAGGAAATAGAAACATTGTGAAAGAATTACTTTCAAGAGCCAAGTATATCTGATTATAAATTGCTCCAACTTCAAAAAACAGGTAATTCTCAGGATCTATAGTCTTTTTTTTTTTTTTTTTTGAGACAGGATCTCACTTTGTCCCCCAGGCTGGACACTGGCTTGATCTCGGCTTACTGCAACCTCTGCCTCCAGAGTTCAAGTAATTCTCCTGCCTGCGCCTCCCAAATAGCTGGGATTACAGGTGTGTACCACCATGCCTGGCTAATTTTTTTTGTATTTTTGGTGGAAACAGTGTTTTGTCATGTTGCCCAGGCTGGTCTTGAACTCCTGAGCTCAAGCGATCCACCTGCCTCAGCCTCCCAAGTGTTGGGATTACAGGCCTGAGCCACTGCACCCCACAGGATCTATATTCTAAATAAAACATTAGTTTTCCAGCTTATTCTGCCAACCTGCCATAACCTGTTAATCAAAATTAACATAGATACAAAATCCTAAATACATGGTTAGGAATTTGAAGATAACAGCCTTTTAAATTAATGGTTTCTTATTATATTCTATTAATAAAATTGGTGTCTGTCATCAAAAGGTCAAAAGAGCAAATGCATATAATGTCATTTGAAAAAAAACAGCTGATCCTAATAAACAGGCTTCGTGAAAAAATTTTTCTTAAACATAATATTCAATTTCTAACCTATAAATTACATGAGTGAAACACTAAAAATTAGACATCAGTAAAATCAAACAAGAATGCCATTATATTCATTGAAAACTATTAAAAATGGTAATAAAAGTTATGTAACCAGTTTTAACAACAATAATAAACAATCAGCTTTCCAATATAAGCGGTGACTAGTTAGAAATATTACAATACTTATGAGAAATCCATATCTAAAAGCAACAAAAATACTTTTGGAAACTTAAAAAAAAAGAACATAAAGAAAATTTTGGAACTTTTACTAGCCTGGCCAAGATGGTAAAAGCCCATTTCTACTATACATTATTTATTTAATTTTTTGAGACAGAGTCTCACTCTGTCTCCCAGGCTGGAGTGCAACAGCATAATCTCGGCTCACTGCAACCTCCACTGGACTCCTGGGTTCAAGCGATTCTTCTGCCTCTGCCTGCTGAGTAGCTGTGATTACAGGTGCCTGCCACCACGCCTGGCTAGTTTTGTATTTTTAGTACAGACAGTGTTTCACCATGTTGGCCAGGCTGGTCTTGAACTCCTGACCTCAAGTGATCCACCTGCCTTACCCTCCCCAAGTGCTGGGATTACAGGCATGAGCCACCGCACCCAGCCTCGTTTCTACTAGAAATACAAAAATTAGCGGGGTGTGGTTTCTACTAGAAATACAAAAATTAGCAGGGGGTGGTGGCAGGGCCTGTAATCCCAGCTACTTGGGAGGCTGAGGCAGGAGAATCACTTGAACCTGGTAGGCAGAGGCTGCAGCGAGCTGAGATTACGCTACTGCATTCCAGCCTGGGTGACAGAGACTCTGTCTCAAAAAAAAAAAAAAAAAAAGGAACTCTTAATCTCTTAATGGGGAGCATGTAAAGAAACAATTCTACTATGCTCTCAGTGGAAAGATAGATCCCCTAAGTAAAAAGCATTTAATATGTTTCCAGTTAAAATCCTAACAGAATACTTGAGAAAGTAATCTAAATGAGTCTGAAAGTCACATGGAAAAATAAACAGGCAGGAATAGAAAACTCTGAAAAGGGGACAATTAAATTAATTTGAAGTTCTGCCTGTCAAACTGTATGTGCTACACATTGTTCTAGGAGCTGAAAATAAAGTGATTTTTAAAACACACACACAATGTCAGATGTCTAGTTTATAATGATACAAGTGTAGGACTTATAAACAAAAGAGAAAGATAAAAAAAAGAAAGTATAAAGTCAGACCCGTATCTTACAGCAAACATCTATAAATTATAGAATGGTTTAGAATTAAATGAACACTCAAATCTGTGAAAATATTTAAATAACCTTGGAGTAGGACAGCTTTTCTAAAGAGAAGGAAAAGCTTAACAAACTTTACATAAAATTTTAAAATTCTCCTACAACAAAACATTATAGATAATACTTTATATATTTTATATATATATATATATATATATATATATATATATATATATATATATGTATGTTATATATTTAACAAAGGGCTACCTTCCTAATGAAACAAGTTCTTCAAAGCAATAGATGTAGAACCTAATAATTAAACTATGAATAGTTAATGACAGACCTGGCTAACATATGAAGTGCTGAACTTCACTAGTAATCCAAGAAATATGAATTAAAACAAGATGATTTATCATCTGTCTAACTAACAGAGATCTCAAACTTTTAAGTATCCAACATAGCTAAATGAAAAGGTTAAGGAAGAGTAATGTGAAACTGGTAAACTTTTCCTTAAAGCAATTTGGACCTAGCAAACATTTTTAAACTGCATTCTTTATACCAGCAACTCCAAGGAAATTAATTTATGTTTGTGTGTATGTATTTTTGTGGATTTTCATCACATTATTTGTAACAGAAAAGTTCAAAATGTGTCCAGCGGTGAGAAATTGTGAAATTATGGTTCCTCTATAAAGCAATAATTTACAAGCATTAAAAAGAGGAGAGGGCTGGGCACAGTGGCTCATCATGTCTGTAATCCCAGCATTTTGGGAAGCCAAGGTAGGAAGATTGCTTGAGGTCAGGAGTTCGAGACCAGCGTGGGCAACTCAGGGAGACTCCATCTCTACAAAAAATTAAAAAATCAGCTGGGCATGGTGGTGCACACCTGTAGTCCCAGCTAGTTGGAAGGCTGAGGCAGGAGGATCACTCGAGCCTAGGAGTTTGAGGCTGCAGTGAGCCATGATCTCAACACTGCACTCCAGACTCAGGGACAGAGTGAGACCTTGTCTCTAAAAAAAATTTTTAAAAATAAGAGGGTAGAATTTAATTGCTTGATACCAAGAGATGTTCACAACATATTATTAAATGAAAAAATTCAAATTACAAAGCTGTGGGCAGTATGATCCCATTGTTTTAGAAAAAAACTGATATGCATTGAAAGACATCCATCGAAGGTAAAATATTAAGTGGTTATCTGGGGGTGTTCTCTGTGTTCCTACTTCCGAATATGTACTAATTATAAAAAGATACCTTTGTCAAAAAAAAATATATATGGCATATTGGATTACAAGTAGTTATCCTTATCAGATAAGATTACGTCAAAAAGTCTTTTCTGGATAGAAGCAAAAAGCAAACAAGGCTGGAAAATGGCCTGGGAGTGTTACGGCAATTTATTTACAGACTATTGAATACAGCCTTAAAAAAAAAAAAAAGGTAAAAAACAAATTGTTTGTATTTAATACATTAGATTTTAACAAGTTACAAGACTTAACGTTCTTGCAAAAGGGTATAACACTTTTACAACAAATTAACTGGGGAAAAAACTTAAAAGAGTAATTCTGTATTCAACATAGAGCCTCATTTGAATACAATTAGAGAATTCATTTTTAATGGGACATTTGATAGGCTGAAATGAGTTAAGACCCACAGACTCTGTTAGTCTACAAAATTCAAAGGATAAGTTCTTCCCATTCTCATAAAAGTTTTCTATTTTCCCTATCTTCAACTGGATCCCATGACAGCTTATTATTAATAGCTTTTAAGTAGAAATATTTAAGAAATTATCTGGAGAAACCTTCGGTAAATGGCAAACTATCGCTCCTCTTAAAAATCCACCTGAAATTATGAAACCCTAAAAGTATTTTTAATAAATTTTTTAAGAAAAAATTCCAAATTAATAGGTCGTTTATTGCATAAAACCTTGAAAGAACCGAAAGCAAATTATGTTTGCAAGCCTACTGATAACCAATCTTCTTCGAAAAAATGAAAAAATAGACAGGACTCTCCTTTTCAAAGATTCTCCATATATGAAACAAACAGCCCTTTTAGGCTCCTAGATTTCAAAAAGTTTTTTTCTATTTTTTTCTAAATATTGTTTTTTAAGCAGACTTTTTAAAGCCAGTTGTGTAAAACCATTAGTCCCATAGTCTAAATTTAATTATTTTACTGTACCACTGGTCATTATTTTGAGGCAATTTCCCTATTAAAAAGTTAAGTATGCACTACAGAATTTAAATATGGCTTAGCAGAACAAGCACAGGCAATCCAGTCGCCAAAATTTCTGGCAATCCCTCTTTAAGCCTTATTTTTCTTAGTTGTCAAGTAAGAAAGCTGACCAGATCATTTTAGGTTATTGGGACATCTTGTTCAAGGCCTTTAAAATATCAAAAGGAGGCTGGGTTTGGTGGCTCACACCTGCAATCCCAGTACTTTGGGAGGCAGAGGCAGGCAGATCACGATGTCCGGAGTTCAAGACCAGCCTGACCAACGTGGCTGAAACCCCGTCTCTACCAAAAATACAAAAATTAGTCAGGTGTGCTGGCACACGCTTTTAATCCCAGCTACTCAGGAGGCTGAGGCAGGAGAATCATTTGAACCTGGGAGGTGGAGGTTGTAGTGAGCCGAGACGGCACCGCTGCAACTCCAGCCTGGGAGACAGAGCAAGACTGTCTCACAAAAATTTAAAAAATAAAACATCAAAAGGTACTGGCAGACTGGGCCAAAAAAAAAAAAATTGAAAGGATATTATATCCCAGGGAATTAGTTGGTCTATATTCAAAACATGTATTTCAACTTTTTTTTGTTTTAGCTATCTCCTACAGGAAGGATTCTACTTTTTGGAAAATAAAACAAGCCCCCTCCTCCCCAAAAAATAAAGAAAACAAAAAGCCCTAGGGTGAAAAATCATCCTAAATTGGATTAAGCTCAAAGCAAACAGCAAAACCTTAACTCAGAAGTACCAGTCCGATTCGACTGTAAACATTTACCTATTCACTTTTCATTTTCCTCAAGAAGTCTTGGTATTTCTTACAAATAGGCCATTGCAAACTGGCCAGATTCAACTTAAAATTTTATCACTGAATTTCCAGTTGTTTGATTTCTCTCCAGAACCATCCCTATCCAAATTTCAATTTAAAATTTCAAAAAGACACTCAAATTTTCATGCCTTACATTCACTTGAGTTCAATTTAGATACAGCTGAGGAAAGCAAATACCACTAGCTTCTCTAGACATTTAAAACATCTTGCTCACTGTCAGCACACTAGAAGTATGATTTAACACTGTTGATGATTATTGATGTACCCCAAGGACTAGACTAGTACTTGGTATGTTGTAGGCACTATGATTTGCTGACAGAATAAAGCTGTGAATCACAACTAGAATTATTACTTTAATTCACATTCCACAAATGATTTTAATCAATAAACTCCTTAAAAATCAGTATTTTAAGGTTTCACAAGTGACCTGCAACTCTCCCAACAAATAATGAAGACATGGGACATACTGAGTTGCATGCAGAAAAACCTGCTGTGTAAGTAAGTGCAAAAGATAATTTCACATGGGAGAAGATACTTTCTTCTTTTGGCAGGTCAAATCTTTTCTATTTTTATCTTAACTTGCAATCTGACTTACCTGCTTTTTTCAAAAAAACTTAAGCAATATTACGTGTTCCTTAGATTTCACTCAAATTTTCAGTAATGACTGCTGTTATTACAACCTATAGTACTAGTGATTTCCCAACTTTGTCCTATCAATCCAAATTCACTGAATTAAAGTATTAAATACTATGGAAGGAAGCATTAAGAGTTTTGACTATCATATTTCATCAATTATAAGACAAATATTTTCATATAACATGTCTGAATCTGGGATGTAGCTTACAATTGATAAAATCTTAGCACTGTATTGTAGCTTAATTGGCAACATCTTTTTCCTAAGGGATACATAAAAGACTGGTATGTCTCACATGCAATGATGTCTTAGGATAATATTAGTTCAAATTTTCAATTTCAAAGCAACGATTTCCCTGTCCTCCCAGCCGCTCTCCCAACATGTCACTGAAATGTTTGATTAGAAAAACTATCCAAACACAGTTCAATTTTATATAAAATATTTAATTTTTGAAACACAGGCTATTCATGTCACATAAATATCTTCAATTGTAGGTTAGCTGCTTATGGTCAGCAGAATTATCAAGTGTGACTATTAAGAATAACTTAGATACTGTCACTTATAGGAAAGCCTAAAGCTCTAAGACTCACCATATTAAAATTTCAGATACTTGAATACTGTTGCTATTTTGCTAATTTCAAAATATTTCTTCACTTCCTGCAATGTAGTTTATAAGTTGTTAGTAATCAATATTCAAATAAAAGCAAAATATTTTTTTCTTCCATTCATTTCTTTCTCCCCAATGACAAAAAGATTCCATCAAAAAATAAAATGGTCAACTGATACCAACTTATTTTACAGTAGTAAAATGGTAAATTATCCTCTTTAAAATAGTCTTACTGTCATCAAACTACAATGCTTCCCACATTGTTTTGAAATGAAGGTTCATAAGTTAGAGGGCACAGGGTTAACTGACTTTAGAAGTGGAGCAATATATATTCTGTAACAGTTGTTCCAATTTAAGATTCCAATAAAAAAAAAAATAAGTTACCAGAACAGTTAATGAACAAAATGATTAATTGGCACAACTCTTTAACTACCAGTCAATTTTTCCATTTAGTAATAATGGAAACGCTGGTTATTTACCTTTGGTTCCTTTCTAGAATTATTATAATTGTGTGTGTATGTGTGAGAGTGAGTGTGCACGCAGTGAGACTCCACACCATTAGTTTAAATAAGGATTACTCCATTCTTTGATGCTCTTTATAAAAAAAAAAAAAAAAAGTTAAAATGAACTAAAATTGTTGCTCTGAGTCTGGCAGAAGTCATGATCAACTTTATAGAAGGTGACAGGAAGGAATATAAAAGTTCTCATTGCCTTTTCTTTTTGCTTCAATAAATTCAATGTAGGCAATGTTTCTAGTTAACAAGTGAATAGAACTGACTTTCTTAAAATGGCAATTACGTAACTTAAAATATGGTATTTGCCACCCCTCCCCCATGAACTTTAACACATTTATGTAAGTTCTGTTATTAACTCTTGCTTCTATACTATGGCCTCCAATTATCCATGGCAAATGGAAACAGGGACAATATGCCAGCCTGAAAGAAAATGGCACTCTAAAATTCTCGTTGAGCTATTACTTTCAACCATTTAAATGACAAAACTTTTTAGAACTTCTCAGAAGTAACAAAAAGTACTGATTGCAGCTCTTTCCCCTTCTTTGCTCTCACTCCCCTATCAAGAGAAGGTGGTAGTGAAAGGTAACACAGCCCAAAGACAGGCAGAAAAGGAGAAAGTGTGACAGGCAGAGGGAATGGACCTAACAGGAACTGAACAGGCAGCCCCTGAAAACTTGAGAGCTTCCTGCCTTTTCAATGCATTGATTCCCTTGAAAAGACAAATGGGGATAAAAAGTTAACTCTTTTTTTCAGACCTTACCTGTTAAGGCACTTACTTTCCCTCCCCACCCCACCCATAGTTTTCATATAAAACTCACTATTTCATTTGAATGCATTTTGCTAAGCTATGATAATCTGCAAAACAAAGCAAAAATAACATTTACCATTTTTTTTATAAAACTGTTGCATCAAGAGAAAGGTTGTGTTTTATTTTCTGAAATGAGCACAAAGTACACCTTTCACAATAACACTGAAAGCAGGTGCAAAGACTGACAGTGACCTTTGACTAAAGGTAGCTTTGTAAAAAGAAAAATACCAAATAAATCAGTGCCCTTTCTGATTGTTGTAAAACTGGAGGTGGGGAGGGGCTGTTTGTTACATAAAAGTTGGTCCAAACTTACAAAAAAAGCACAAATGTGCATAGTTCAGAAGATCTGCAAGAGGGCCATAAAAGGCTATGTCCCTAAAATTAGCATCCACTTAAAACTGCAAGAATACAAAATAAAATTGTTAACTAGAATTTGTGAAGATGTACAATCGATAGATCTAGTTTTCAGAACAGCATGAATTTAAGCAAAGGTTGTTTTTTTTTTTCTGTCTTTTTTAAACTATTGTATGCAAGACCCTTCTCCACATAAAAATAAAGCTGTTGTTGAATTAATATTATTCAAGTCTCTTGGATTGCTGCCTTAAATTGCAGCTAGAAAAGTCTTTCCAGATAAAAATGATGTGCCTGAGGAAAAACAGATACTCAGTATGGTAACCCTCTGCCTCTACCTCTGCCAGTTGATGTGCTAATATGTCCCCTGTATCCTTGTGAATATCCAGGTCCATGGGCAGGAGAAGTCCAGGTCTGTCCATGCATGAGGCCTGGACCACTTGGGTTTTCCTGTAAGTTACCACCATAGTTATAGTTATGCATCTTTGCTGGCAAAGGATGAGTACTCTCTGGCCCCGTGGAAGGGTCACTGCTGTTTGCCAGGACTGCAATAGGACCATGGCTATATTCAAATCTATGGTCTTTGTCTCCACTAAACAACATGGGACCAGCATTGAGGTAAATGTCTCCATATCCAGCTACTGAACTGGGAAATGACTCAGAAAAGGCAGAAGGCTGAGGTGGACCACCAGAATGAGATGAAGCAGTACTATAGTTATCCAAAGACTGAATATCTGAGTTTCCAATGAAACTACGTCGTTCTAATGGTGGAGCAGAACTGCTTCCTAGACCATCATTGCTAACGTAAGGAGCAGAAGAGAAAGAAGAGGATCCAAAGTTGTCCTTGTAGTCTGAAGTGGACACGTAAGTGTCTCCTGCTTGATAATCAATCCCACCTTCTCTTTTGGGGTCATCCTGGGGCTGATGCTGAGCAAGCAGCTGTAACAGGGCTGCCTTCACTCCAGCATGCGGGTCAGTTAATGAAGAACTAGTGGTGGGTACATGCTGGTTTTCTGTCCGATAATCCAGATCTTCCTCAGTGACTGGTGGTGGTTCAGGAGGCTCAGGAGGTCGTTGGTCAGGAGGCAGAATTCGAGGCCGGTCTGGTTCTGGTGTTAGCTCCAAGATCCTCATATCTTGATGCTGGATGAGGTCATCTTGTCCTAAGTGAAACAGCAAAAACAAGGTCAAAAGTTACCATGGAAAACTGATATTCAAAATACTCAGTGTTTCCTGTAGGTAACCCTAAAGATGATTAGAAGCTCCATCTCTAGCAAAATGTTAAATGAAAAAAACAAAGTTTACAAATACTATGGTAACTGGAAAATTTTACTGTATTTGGCTTCTCTTTAAAACAGTCTCACTATGTCACCCAGACTGGAGTGCAGTGGAGTAATCACAACTCACTGCAGCCTTGACCTCCTGGGCTCAAGTGATTCACCCACCTCAGCCTTCCAAGTAGCTGGAACCACAGGCATGTACCGTGCCCCGTTAACGAAAAAAAAATTTTTTAGAGATGGGGTCTCACTATGTTGTCCAGATAA